CCCTATTGAGCCTTGATGATCTTCTTCCTCTTCATGAACTCCCTCAATCTACAACCACAAAATTAATATATTAAAAAAAAAAAACAATACTAAGTAATACTAATTTTTTTCTCATTAATCAAGAACTTAAAATATGCACATCACTAATTAACGGTTATAGTGGGCATCAATAAGATTCCTCCATCCCTAATCAGACATCTATCTCATGTTCGAGCTCTGAGAAGGGAAAGTATCTTGGTATGAAGCGTTGTGCTTTCCTTACACAAATGTATAATGATATTGAGAGTTTTGAAATGTATATTCAACTATATATATATACTTCTTTTTATAGGATTTCACTCAGAAGTACTGAGTTCTGCTGAACTTACGAGCTCATTATTGAATCCACCACTAATATTTTGTAGCAAGAATATAACTTTTTTGTAGATACAAAATAAAAGATTTTGAAAGTGGGGTTCTTTTTTTTTCCTTCTAATTTTAGAAAAAAAGGTTTAAGAGAGAATAATTATATTTACCCAAATATCATCTTCATCTTCATATCGATTAAACAATGTTGATGATGAAGTTTTCGGAATCTCAAGACCAACTTCATCATTACGAGCAAATCTGCCACGAACCCTTGGACGATTGTCCGCTAGTGTTTTTCGACATGCATACTGTTGTGGTACCATGATAAAACAATTTTAATACAAATAATTAAAAAAAAAAAAAATCGTGTTAATTAATTATATAATTAATTACCTTAATTGTTTTGTTAAAATTTCTTTGAGTTCTTTTTGCTCTGTATCTATGAATTCTTTCTTTTCTCTCTTCTGCAGTATATCTTCCCACTTTGATATTTGATGCTTCTTCAATAAATGTTCTTTCTCCTGATAATGGACTTGTTGATAAAGTGTTCCTTGTTTGACTTGTCTTCATCTTCTGTTAAAAATAAGGGTAAATAATTATAAAAAAATTCAATATGTATTCGTTTTTATTTTATGTAACGATATTTGATTATGCATGACGGTTAAGAAAAAAAAAGATAACTTTTAAGAAGTTAGAATTTGTCCTTATGATTTTAAACATGTCAAGATGTAAGTATATATAAGTTAAGAGTTCTCAAACAAGCGAAATTTATAATTTTTTGAGTGCTTGAATTCTCGATTCTTGAAAAGGGGTATTTAATGGATTTTGGATTCTTGATGACTTTAAAAAATGTGAATATCTCTCTATTATGAAGTTGTATGAATGGCGATTTGATGCGTTGGAAATTAGACTTTATGGACTTCGAAATTGATAAGTTCACTAGGTTCTAGATAAATTATTTAATACACAGTAAATGAATCTTTTAAATACAAATATAATGTTTGGATCAAAACTACTAAATTCTATCTAACTCGTAAAAATATCAAATTCTATCAAACTTCTAGTGGGCGAACAACTATTTAGGTTGATTCTTCGTTTGAAAATAGAGGCGGAGCTCTCGTGTATAATCTAGATATACAAGCTAGAATTTATGTATAATCTGTCTGACGATTTGTGTAAAACCCCATTTTCAGAATGCGGAAAGATGTCATTCTTTTTCAAACGTACTAAAAAAAAAAATTAGAAAAAAATGGGAATTGAGATAGGAGGACTAACTTGCAAATCACCAGTGCTGCAAACTCTTCTCATTTGGCCAGAAGAAAAGCTGTTTTCAGGTGAACTAACTGCTGCTGATGTTTGAAAATTTGTAGACTCAATTAAACTATCAAAGTTTGGTGTAAAAATAGAGAAACTTTGTTTCTCATTATTATTATTATTATTATTATCAAAACAATTACTACTAAAACTCCTCTGCATCAATTTCACATCATTTTGAAAAGCACCAAAATGATCAGATTCAAAATGGACCTGAAATTCCTCTGCTTTTACAGAGTAATCACCAAATTCAAAATTTGGATTTCCAATTGGACAAAGTGAAAGATTCTCAAATTGATGACTTGGAGGTGAAGATGAAAGAAGGGTCGAAGTGATTTGGTCAAATGAAGTTGTTTCATCAATTTTGGTTTCGGGAAGTTCTTGTATCAAACAGTTGGTAGGCATGGTGAAATTGTTGTTTTCTTGGAAAATTGAGTTATCTATGAAAGATGGAGAAAAAGGGTCAGTAAAAAAGTTGTCAAATACAAAAAGTTCTGAAGACATTGAGGAAATTGAAGTGAATTTCTAGATTATTTTTTTCTTGTTTATTGAAAATAAAAACAGGACAAAAATGTCTTGTTTAATCAGAATTTTGAGAGGAAGAAGACAAGAAACTCATTTTTCTCTGATTTTTTTTGGTACTGATTGAGTGATGAAATATAGGTGGAAAAAGTTTGTGTTTACTATTGCTTTTGTTTGGGCTGCAAGTGTGGAGAAAGAAGACAATTTAAATTTGGAGTGTTCTTTCTCTGTGGAAGCAAAAACAAAAACAGACAAGGAGAGAAGACTAGTCCACTTCCATTATATAAAGGAGGAGACTTAACAATCAAGTCCTTTTCATCATATGTTACTCCCTCCGTCTTATTTTATGTAAGATAGTTTGGCTCGATACGGAATTTAAGAAAGAAATAAAGACTTATAAAACTTGTGGTCCAAAATGAATTATAGAAATTTATGTGGTTATAAATCATTTCATTAAGGGTAAAATTGACATTTTATAGTTAAATTGTTACTTAATATAGAAATGTGTCATTCTTTTTTAGACTGACTAAAAAGGAAAGTAAGTCACATAAATTGAGACAGAGGGAGTATTCAATATGAAAGTTGTCGTTGCTATGTGATTTATAGGTCATAAGTTTGAGTCCTCATGAAAATAGTTACTATTAATGTTTGTATGTGATGGACTGTTATGCTTTTTGAAGTGTGATTCTTTCTCAATTCATGAAAATAATCATTAATGCTAGAATAAAATAGACTGTCTATATCATGCCTTTTGAAGTACAATCCTTTCTCAAGTCGTGGAAACTAGGGGTGTTCACAGTTTGGTTTGAGTCGGTTATTGGTCAAAATCAAAACCAAACCAACTTAATCGATTTTAAAATTATCAAAATCAAATCAAACCAAATATAATATACATTTATCGGTTTTGGTTGTTTTCGGTTTTGGTTTGGTTATTCGGTTATTAACTATACATAAAAATAAAAGACACAATTCATTCAAAATGTGAAAAAAGTGACAACAATCCATTCAAACAAAAAAATAGTTAGAATGACTGGCATTACAGAACTTTCGATCATTGAATCCTCTGAATAAAACTTCAAAATTCACTATTTTGGCATAGAAGGAAGAGACAATGATATTTTCAGTTCCACAAAGAATTTCCATAAACACTTATATATATGAAACCAATAAGAAAAATGTTCTCACCTTGGACACTTTTTCTTTCATAAGTAAATTATAAAAATAAATTTTGATGAAACATATATAAAATCTTTAAAATTGTTTATGAATATAATATATTATGTATGTATAATAATAAAATTTATGTATATAACTTGTTGGTTCGGTTCGATTATTTCTTTGATTTTTTTCGAACAAAACCATAACCAAACCAAATACTATCGGTTACTAACAATCTAAAACCAAACCAAATCAAAACCCAAATTAAATCGGTTCATTTAATCGGTTTGGTTTGGTTTTTCG